ATTAAAAAAAATTGATAAATTTTATAATGAAATTTTGTTAAAATTTTATTAAGTTGTTAATTTTTTATATTTAATAAAAAATCAGTGTAAAAAAAATCAATAGAAAAATTGTTAAGTGAACCTTAAATATGGAAAGTTAAAGAGGGAACTTATATTTAAAAAGAAAAGGTTATGAGTTAGTAATTACGTCAAAAAAATAAATATTATAATATTAATATGAAAAAATAAGTCAATAACCTTATAAATAAAAAAGTTTAAAAAACTTTAAATGCCAAAGGTTCTCCCACCCAAACACCACCTTAACATTTGGATCAATCAATTGCATCATTGCGTTACATGTGAACAAATAGTGGAGAAACTAGAAGAGTAACAACTAGGGAAGGCCAAATTGCAGATCAAGCCCACAAGAGGAACTGTTCCTAATGTATTCACTTACTAAGAAGGTTCTTTCCTGCTTCAGGGTCTGATCAGATTACTTTATATTCCCTCTTTCAATTTTATAATGCAATGTCTTTTTTTTTTTTGAGGGGTAAATATATGCAATGTCATTAATACAGGTTTATACCATCATGATTAGTTGTTTAATTAATTAAAACGCGATACTCACTTGATTTCTTAATCCTGATGTGCATAAATGACCTTCAAACAAACACCAAAATTTCAACCTCGGAGATGCTCTGGGACACCCCTTTAAGGAAAAAGAAAAAGGTCGGAAAACGAACAGGTGTCGGGTTATGTAATCAAATCATTTGAAACTTTTCATGCAAATTTGAGTTAAAGAATCATCAAATCTGATACACTGGTCCATGCAAAGCCATATTGAATCTTCATCACTTCCCATTTGGACCATGACACCATAATTGTACTCAGTACGCAATGCATAGTGCATGACTAGCTTTTTCTAGTAAAAACTCATGGATCCGAAGATCCCCGTGACACTATTTACATCTCCCCCCCTTTCTTTGCAATAAAGATGTACAAAAAAAAAAAAAAATCTTATATATCTTCATTTACCTAAAAAAAAAATGCTGTTGTTGTATTTTCTTTTCTTCCTTTGATTTGTCACTTTCGAAATGACATAAACAATATAAGTAGGTTCATAATAAAAAAGGACAGCATTTAGTGAAGTGGGGTCGAAGTTTTGGGAGCACCATGTGAGCCTAGCTGAGACAAAATCTTTGTGGAGGATCTTCATTAATTTTACATCCCCTTTGAGTTCATGTTTGTTAGTTAATTCAGTTAGTATACATGTTACCCTCATGTGTAAGAGTACATATATGGGAATTGCAGTTTTTTCTCTACATACTGAATCCCCTTTTGGTCTAATTTCAAGACAATTTCTCCGCTGCAAAAGCTAAAGTTAGGCAAAAACAACATATTCTTGAGCGTCTCAAAAGTAAGTTAGGATTTTCTATCCTGGTACAAATGTGTAAACTTTGGTGGGAACAAATGGATTTAGAATTTTACATGGGGTGGGATGGGCCTGGATGTGTCCTGTTTAACAAGCAGAGAACATGGCCAGTATTTGCATCTGAAAGGGGTATATTGTCATCTTTTTGGCCTAGGCATGGTCACATGTTTCAATGCTGTCGTGCTACAGCTCCCATGTGCTTGCTTACTCTGGCCATTGCTGTACTCACCATTTTAGAAGAATAATAAAATAGCTGGTTTTAGTTGAATAATAATTGATTGTGTTACTATAATGTAATGTAACCACATTTTTCTTTAACAAAAGGCCAGGTATAGGAAGACACTGGAATTCATTTTTTCCTTCTCTTATCATACTTAATTTATTATTTCTTTTCCATATTAGCTGGATCGGTGTTCATAATCTGGGACTGGGAGTGTAACCTCTGAGCTAATAGATCCAATTGCCAACAAATCCAAATCAAGCACCAAATCACTAGAAGTATCGTGTCCTGCTTTGTGTACTCACTGGATGTAGCACAAAATCTTTAGCAATTTCGAGAGACTAGATTGGCTAATTTCTTTAATATTGTGGGTTGGGAGATCTAGCCTGTATTTTAACTACCTCTGATCAAAATTTCCTTGACCAAATTTTCTAATTTAATGGACTAAAATCAGAGCACACTATACTTCTGATCATAATTTATTAGGCTAACATTTTTTTTTGAAAGGCATTTATTAGGCTAACATTGTGTTCTTCAATTAACAGTTCAAATTAATAGTTCCCTGCTACATAATTAACCCACCCTCTTTTTTCTCTAAATTAACTAGTTTATGAAAGTAATT